GTGAGCCCTGGCACCCCCCTCTCCCCCGCCCCCGCCCCTCTGGCCATGCCCAGGCCTTTGCCCCCACTGACGGCAGCAGCGGGCCACGGTGCCAGCTGGAGCTTGGGGCAGAGTCCACGGGGAGGGAAGTGTCCTCCCCAACCTCACCCTGCGCTCCCCTAGGAAGGTGGTGAGGCGGGTGAGTCTGACCCAGCGCACCAGCCTGTACCGCAAGGAGCATGCCCAGGAGGCCATTGTGTGGCAACAGCCACCTCCCACCAGCCCGGAGCCCCAAGAGGAGGATGAGGATGGCCAGACAGACACTGAGCTCAGGCCACCGCCCCCTGAGGTGAGCCCCTCCCCCTCACCGTGGAGCAGGCCTTGACCCAGGAGCCAGTGGATCAGTGACCCTGCACCATGACCAGCTGGTGCCCTACCCCCGTGCCTCCCCTTTACCACAAAGCAGTGTGCCCAGGACCCGGGGAGGCCAGACAGGGTCTCCCTGAATGGCCTCTGGGGCCCACGCTCCCCTTACAGGAGGAGGACTCCGAAGTGTCTAGGCCACACAACGGCCGAGTTGGGGGCACCCCTGGACGGCACCTGTACTCCAAGCGGCTTGACCGGAGTGTCTCCTACCAGCTGAGCCCCCTGGAGAGCGTGGCCCCCGACAGCCTGGGCCACAGCCTGGGCCGCACCAAGGCCCACCACACCTTGGCGGAGCTCAAGCGCCAGCGAGCGGCTGCTAAGCTGCAGCGCGGGCCCGAGGCCCCCGGGCCTGGTCTGTCTGCGGACACAGAGGCCCCCCAGCCTGAGTGTGGCTCCAGGGCTGGTGGGGACCCGCCCCTGCTCAAGCTCACAGCCCCCTCGGAGGAGGCCCCCGTGGAGAAGAGGCCCTGCTGCCTGCTCATGTGAGGGGCTGGCGCTCGGGGTGCCCAGGCTCTGCTGCCAGGCCTGGTGGAGGCTGCCTCAGGCCTTTTGCTGGAGATCCCGACATGTGCCCTGTGGGCAGGCAGCCAGCCGTCCGGGACCCCGCCTCCTCAGGCAGGAATGGGCCTTGGCAGAAGCCATACCTGGGGGGCACCTGCTACAGAGACCTTGTTTCATCCTGTGACTCTTGATAAAGAGCCCTCTGCCACCTGCCTTGTTGTGTCTCAGCTGGGCCACCGTCCCCATGGGAGCTGCTGTGCGCTGGGCCTGGGTGCTCCGTCCCTGTGCGCAGTCATCGGGCCTGTGGGTGCACGCTAGGGCTCGCTGGTGGTGGCCCAGCCCATGTGGGAGTGAGGCCCACAGATGCCGGGCAGGAAGCCTGGCCCTCACTGTGCCCTGCCTTCCCAGGCTCCTGGCGGCTCCTCTGTAACTCTTTGCTGTCCTCAAGGAGCTGCGGAAGGACACTCCCTGGGGACAGGGATGTGTGCCAGGGGAGCAGAGATCCTGGTTTGGGGAGGGAGGGGCAAAGACATACAAAGCTAGTGTCAGAAACCTGGGGGGCAGGTCCCCCATCCTTGGCATGCAGCCCAGTCCTGGGGCCTAGCTGCCAGGTTTTCCCTGGGCTGGCACAGGGGGCCAGCAGTTGGCCACTCAAGCTCTGAGCTGGCTGGGTACGATGTGTCAGGGTGACAGGGGTCCCTTAGGGGCCTTGCGTGGGAGGGCTGAGGGCACTGCCATCTCATCTGTCCATGGAGGGGGGTTCTGCATGGCCACCAGCGCTGGATGGCATGGGCTCAGGTCACCTTCCCCTCCTCACTGAACACCAACCGGTCAGCCCGTTGTCCACAGGCCAGCCCTCCCCTGAGCCTTGTGGTGGGAGGGGTGTCTCACCTGGGGGAGGGCCAGGTGTGAGCTGCTGGTTACATTTACTGTGGGGCCGGTGCTGCTGCCCAAGTCCACCTGCACCAAGCTGCCAGGGTGGGCGGGGCTGGCTCCGCCTGGGGCCGGGCCCATATTAGCCTGCACTCTGGCCTGGGGGCCGGAGGGACAGGCCTGCTCACAGGAGGCTGAAGAGGCAGTGCAGTGGCAGCGGAGCAGAAGGTGCGAGGTGAGAGTGAGGCTGGCGCTCGGGCCCCTCTGTCCTCTCCAACTAGCAGGAGCCGAACAGCCGGGCTCCCCTCTGGCCTGACCAGCCGCCCACAGGACAGCATGGATGCAGGCTCCCTGACCCTCAGCTCAGTCCCTGGCTCAGCGTCAGATGCCATAGCTGGAGTGGCCACCCTGGGCAGGGCCTGTGGGGGTGGGGCTCTGAGGGCCTATCACTGCTCACTCCCCACTCTCCACCAATTACCAGCCACGGGAAGTAGAGCTGAGGTCACCCTGCCTGTGGGGTGGCCCCAAGGGCAGCCCCGGCCGGCCTGGTGAAAGGGCACCCCATGCAGGGCAGCAAGTGTCCAAGGGCCTCCCCCCAACACAGGGGCTCGGGGCTCGCAGTGCTGATGGCGCCCAAGGCCTGAGCACGGGCCCCTGCAGCCCCCACCCTGCCATGACCACCAGCCCAGGAGGGGCCAGATGGAATACCCAGGGCCTCCCCCCCTCCCCCAGCACCTCAGGATTCCTGAGGCTTGGCTCAGTTACCTGGGAGATAGGGCTGCTGACCCAAGCAAAGATGGGGGACTCCACAGGGCTACGCTTCCTCCTAGTCCGGCTAGGGTAAATCTCCATTCTCCCCTCTGGGTTCAGCCCTGCCTAGCTCTGCCCACCCCCTTGGGGCACTCAGCCCAGCTCCCCTCCCCCCAGACCCAGTCCCTCAGAACTTCCTGCACCGTCTGTCCCTACCCCCCATGTGGGTCTCCTGCTTCTGTCATGGGGACACGGCAGGCACTGGGCTGAGCCCCAAGCCCCGCCTGCCTCCTCACCCACTCCCTGTGGCTCCCTGGGGCAGAGCTGTGCCCAGATGGGTGGGGCAGGCCCCGTGGCCCCAGAGGCCCTAGCTCCGCCTCAGCCTTTCCTGTTCCTTTCAGTGGGGCCAGCAGGCTGTCGTGAAGAGGGTGCCTTCTTACCTGGAGCCCTACCCAGGCTCCCCCTGACCAGCCCAGGCCCGCTGAGCTGGGACTCAGCTTCCCTCATTCCCACCTCTGGATCCTGCCACCTCCTGCCCAGTCTTAGCAGGGTCATGGCAGCGAGGGCGGGTGGCCACAACCAGGCTGCGATGAACGGGCCGAAGGAAAAGGTGCTGACGCTGGACACCATGAACGCCTGTGTCAAGAGGGTGGAGTATGCCGTCCGTGGCCCCATCGTGCTCCGCGCCCTGGAGCTGGAGCAGGAGCTGCGCCAGGTATGGCCTGGACCCACCACAGCCCCCCAGACAGCACCCAGCACCCAGCAGCCAGCAGCCAGCGTCACATGGGACAGGAGCCTGCGGGCGTGAGAAGGCCCATTCTCAGTGTCCCGCCTCCCTCCTCCCAGGGTGTAAAGAAGCCGTTCACTGAGGTCATCCGCGCCAACATCGGGGACGCACACGCCATGGGGCAGAAGCCCATCACCTTCCTGCGCCAGGTGAGGCTGGCGCTGCTCTGGCGACCTCTCCCGGTCAGCCGGTCAGCCCTGAGCCCTGTGCCCTGTGTCCTGTGCCCTGTGCCCTTTGCCCCGAGCCTGGCCTCAGCAATCGCTACTCCCAGGTCCTGGCCCTCTGCGTCCACCCGGATCTCCTGAACAGCCCGGACTTCCCCGAAGATGCCAAGAGAAGGGCGGAGAGCATCCTACAGGCGTGCGGGGGCCACAGCCTAGGTGAGCGCACACAGAGCCCAGGGAGGAGGCCTGGAAGAGGCTGTCCCAGGGAGGGGCGGGGCGGACCCACCCACTGGGAGGAGAGGATCTTTTCCCGGGAGCAGCCAGGACCTAACGGGCCTCCCCCGCCCCCTGGCCAGGGGCTTACAGCAACAGCTCGGGCATCCAGCCCATCCGAGAGCACGTGGCGCAGTACATCCAGCGGCGCGACGGAGGCATCCCCGCGGACCCCAACAACATCTTCCTGTCCACGGGGGCCAGCGATGCCATCGTGGTAGGCGGGGCCAGGCCGGGCAGGAGGACACCGCGGTTCTGTGTGTGGCAGGAGGTC